TGCGTGCATTAGAAAATATAACATTCTGCAGTTTATTTACTAATCGTTTGAGGTAATTTCGCGATTTCAATCATCATACAGTAACCTAACCACCAGCATTAGCCACCTCTTCTTCTCATCTGAGATGTGATGCAGCACTAAACAGTCTCTCGCTGTCGGTGCTTCATGCTTGTAATGATTGTTGCGTCTTTCTCTGATAGTTTGAAATACTTTCACACTGCCAACATGTTTGCTGCATTAGTGCGTGCCTCTATTTGATCGCGTTAGTCATTGTTCGGTACATATTATTCGGCCTTTACGCTTATTCGAATAATTTCGGTTGCCGAATAGTGGGTGCATCCCTAATTTTTAATATAACTCCGACTGGATTCATCTGAAAGAAGAAAGTCATATACACCTAGGATGCCTCGGGGGTGAGTAAAACAGCCTAATTTTCATTTTTGGGTGAACTAACCCTTTAAGGTTCCATTAGAAGAATAAGAGACGTTTATTTTGATGAATAAAGCCTAAAGAAAAAAGACTGAAGTGCTTCTAACTGACCAATATCACACACAGATCTATTGTTCCTCATGTCAACCGCATCACAGCCATGCTAAACAATAGTGGTTGAAATTATACTAAATATAAGCCCACAAATGCATACGTTTTGACGTATTTCTAATGCCCATGGCATCATTACTTGTGATTATCGGTGATGCAGCACTAATGCAATATGCTATATCCATTAGATGTCTCATCTCAAATCATTAACCTTTTGAAAAGAGATTAGCTCAGGAGGAAGCCAGGCATCAGGCATCAGGGAGGGATTCCTATTGTGACACAAGCAGTGAGGAAATGCTTCCCTGAACCCCTGAGTAAGACAGCACACTCTGTGCTTTGGGGGTGATCGCGAAACCCTTCAATAGGGCTGCACGATAAATCGAAATGGAAACGAAATCGCGATTCGACAGAAGCTGCGATTGTCATGCGTATCTTTCAGTGAAGCACGGTTCTGTGATCAGCAGTAAATCTCCATCCAAAGGCCAGAGGGCGCTCTCGCGCTGAAACTCCAAATACGCCTCGCAGAAGAAACCCAGGAAATGCCTATAGCGGTAGCTGGATAAACAGAAGATTTAACTGCTTTTATTGATTCAACGTGACTAATAAACACACGACTACGGAAATATACGGTTTATCTGAGTTCTTATTATTATAATTTTCATTAAAATAAAGTATATTTATAATGCAATGCCTTTATCACTGCTTAGAATTCTATGAAATATGTTGAGTGCCCATTCTGTGTAAGAAGCCACATCATCTCACAGAAGGATTTATTTCAATCACTCGACTGACGTTATGAAGTGAGTTTGGAGTAAAAATATGTTATTAAATGTGGTATTTTCACATGCTTTCAGATGGAGCAGCATTTACTTCACAGAGCCGTAGTTCACTGAGAAGCTATGCAAACAGCTCAACTATATTGTTGGAATCATTTTCAGAATCAGGATCCACTCAACTGCTCAAGCATTTAAACGGCAGACAACATAACTAGATCACACGCTTATAATAAACATATAGCTAACATCCTTTGATGTGGATGCTAATATAGATATTGTTACAGTTATAATTTTTGATGTGAACAGGCCTTTTATAGTCATGTGGATTCTGATTGACGGTCAAAACTTTATTGTTCAATGGCTAGAAAAAAAAAAAAACCTTCTGAAAGTGACAACAGCCATACTGTTCATCTGTGTCATTAACATTATAGTTGTGTTGTGGACTTCCCTATTCTCATAGAATTTGAATGATTATAATATTTATATAGCTTTCATTAAAGTTCTCATCATTGACGTAAACAAGACTTTTTTCAGCCATTCACTTGCTAACATAAACTAGCCATAAGGATTGATTTCCTAAATACTGAAAATCTGCATACAACATGACAGTAGTCAAACAACAAACACCACTTGTTACAAACTAAATGTACATATTTAGGAAAGAATAAATGTAATCTGATAATACAAAAGAATTAGAACTGTATTAGCACATACATTTAACATTCCTTAACAAGACCTACAAACCAATGTTCAATGAATGAAGTGAATGGTTACACAGCCACTGATATTTAAAAGAAATTATTAAAGGAACAGCTCACCAAAAATGAAAATTCTGTCATAAATTTACTCAATCTCAGTCTCATGTTGATCCACACGTGCATGCCTGTTTCTTTCTTTCTTCAGTGAGAAACAAAAAGGTGTCGGCAGGTGCTTATGTTAGAGAGTGACAGCCACAACTGTATACACAAAACGATTAAATGAAAATGAATCTCAACTAAGGCTGTCAAGATTCTGGTTTTTGTGCTGGACAGAAAGAAAAAAAGTAACACTGATATAGAATTTTCATTTTTAGGTGAACTAGCCCTTTAAGCTCGTATCTTTCACCAAAGAGAGTCTCAGACCTCTGATGAGTGTGTAATGGATTCTCTAATGGTCCCCCAGTGAAGACAATAGCTTTCAAAAAATAATAAACACAAATACAAATAAATAAAAGTAGAAAATAACAACACCTGTATACATATATTTAATACAAGAAAATAAACGCAAATAAAAATACACCGTAAATAACTAAATAAATAAAAGCCTTCTCACGACAATGAATGAGCTTTCCTCCTGCTGCGGGCCAGAAACCACAACGTTCAATGTTTTCAGCTCTTAACAGGAAGGAGGAACACGATATTTCACAAATCACCTGCCAGCTGTCTAGAGCACCAATATATTTAACTGCTTTCTTGATAATCAATCGAGCTGCTCATATATCGATGCCATATCACATCTAAACAGCGAGCAGAGCCATCAAGATATTAATTTCTGTCGCTAATATGAGCCACAGGGCGAGTCGGGATGCGCAGTTATTGTTCAAACACTGAATATAGACCACAGCTTCAATCGATCAATCAAGATTACCGTTAATTATAGGCAGGATTACCAGTCAGCTAACCAATATGAACTAATGGAGCTAACAGCTTGACAAACACCTTTAGCTCGTTAGCTATAGCAGCTTTATTTCTTTCACTCACTTCCACGATGAACTTCGCCAGAGGCTTCAGAGAGGAGATGAATACTGAGATACCAGCGTCTGCAGATTATATGACACCTTTTCTGAATAAAATCAGTGTTGATATCCGCTACCCGCTTTTCCTCCTTTCTTCGGTGTTCCTGCAAGTAACGTGAACATTTCATTGTATCATTCCTAAAATAAGAACAGCAATTTAAATAAACACATAACTTAATTAATTTAATTGGCATCTAACTTAACTAACATTCAAGCATGCATATATGAACAAAATAGTTCTTGCAGTGCCACTGTGATAAACTACACTAGGATGATTAATTCTACCTCCAATTAATCTCATATCCATTTTCTCTCGTTTCCAGCAGCACTTCTATATTTGTGCTAAACTGCTATAAATATCTGGAGACAATAAATGAAGAAACACAAACGTTACAGACTTTTATTGGCGACAGGCCACTCTACGAGCTATAATGTGTGTAGCACCTCCTGGTGGATTTGTTTTAAATGTTAGGAAATAACGCGGCCATAAACAACATACTTATTTGATTGATACCATATTTAAAACATACTTATTTCAAAATTTAAAATCTATTTAATGTATGTAATTTGGTTAGCTGGTATATTTTACATTTCTTGCTATATGTGATTTATGAAATATCCTATTGATTTTAGGAAGCTATCAAGTTTATTGTCATTTATAAAACGTTATTATTAGGCCTATTATTATTATTATTATCATTACAGTAGTAAATGTCACATTTGCGTCATTAGCATATTACGTTTTTTTTTTCCTTCAAAAAAGCCAGATCAGGTCAGGTTGTCATGTGTTTAATTATTAATAATAAACAATAGTTTTATATGACCAATTTTGTACCTTTTACATTTATGCTGTTTCGTGTTTTATATTAGATTTCATATTTAAATTAATCTGAAAAATAATAGGCTGTTTAATGGCAGGTAACAACTTAGCCTACCCCCATATAGTGTGACCTAATGACCTACTGTACAGGGCAAAAAACGTGAGTGTTCAATAGCTTTTTAGACTTTATGGTTTGTCTCTTTACATGTTTGTTTGTTTGCAATTCGCTTTGAGCTTCTATCAAAAAGGTGAAGCTGAAGAGAAGATGGTTCTGATGAGAAATGACATTGAAACGAGAGAATATCATCTTCTCGGCCTAAAGAGGGCGCTGTTGCTCTTATTATTACTAAGTGCCTGTAATACCCAACTGATCTATAATAGAGAATATCTCTATTACAAGTATAGAATTTAGTTTATAGTATATTAGTATACTATAAGATCTATTATATAAGATATATAATAGAGTCATTATATAGATCAGTGTAAACCCCTCATATAGGCCTAATATTTATCTTTAGTACTTTAATTTTCACATTGTAATGAGAGCAGTATTCACTCAGGTCAGAAAATGCTAGTACACAAAACCCTAGAAGTACAAGTACTACAATATTCCGCCGTTAGCTGTTTGAACCTGAAAGGGTTAACCCGTGTAATTGGATCAATGGGCATAATGCGGAGCCCCAGCATCTAATTTCATCCGTGAAGACTCCTCATACAGGCCTGCTGCTCTTTCTGGAATAATCGCTATGAGTTTCTGTCGACGACGGGCCTTGTTTTCTAAAAACAACCTGTTGAAAGTGTTTCTCCATGCTCCTGCCTCCTGGTAAATGTTTATGGGAGATATTATTTCGCCGCTCGGTTGCCATGGCAGAAAGGGAAGGTGTCTGAGCGGTGTCAACTTTTCTTCACATGGCGCTTTTCTCGCTCTGAACGCGGTCTGCATGCGAAACGAATGCACTGGAGATAAACCGCTTCACATCGCACTGAGGAACTCCGGGAGAGTTTGACGACGACGTGGGACATCGAGTGCATACCTGTTTTCGCCTGAATAAGAGCAAAACGACGAGTAAGTAGATTTCGATATTAGAATCGGTTATGTGTATCTCTCTCTGGTGATTAAGTGGACACATTTTTGCCTCAAGTAGCCTATGTGTGTGAAGGGGTTCATTTGTCCAGAGCATTGTAGAATATAGAGCCAAAACACGATAAAGGGAATAAACAAGTTTTGTAACGTATTTATGAATAAGCCTGTTGTTAACATCCGTTTCCTTTGACACTACGGTCATACAAATCCCTTGAAATTTGAGGAGGCTTCACCCTTTGCTGTTTGAAGAAAGGGGTTAATGTCTGCAGACTGCTGATATTACCTGTATGCCTTGGGCCTGTGGATTTTTGCAAAATAAACTCGTAAAACTCACTTAAGTTAGTCCACAACCGTGGACATACACAGTCTGAGATTTATTTATTTAGTAAAAGTAATTTTCCCCACCGTGTCATTTCCACCACATTTTTATGTATTGTATCCAGTGATATTATGTGATCTTTTTTTTGGCTAGCATTGTACGCAGTTAAATAATATTTTCACTTTTTTTCCTTTAAAAAAAAAAAAAACTTATTACATGTCACATTTAGACCTGTCACGATAACAACTTTTTGTTGTGCGATATATTGCCCCGGAAATAATTGCGATAAGCGATATTACTATCATTTTAAAGACCATTTTATGCCACTGAATATATAATCGTAATGTAACAGCATAATAATGCAAGAAGGCCTACACACTTCCAAATGACAACAAACTTTTAATTTTTAAGAATATTTAGATTATTTAAAAATTTAGAATATTCAAAATATTAGATACCTTAAAAAACCTGAATAAATAGTAAATAAACATTTTCTAACAAAAAGTGCAAAGTGACAAGTACAAAAAAAGAAAAATGCACAAAGAACTTGTATGGAGATTTTTCCATCTACAGATTTTTCCCTGACCTTCTTTTCTCTGTAAATTAATGGTGCACACTATTGCTGAAAAACACAATCTCTACTTAGCAGTCAGATGTCCGTATGCACAAAGGCACAAGGTCATATCTTCAGATGAAACTTTTTTTGTAGTTAAGCATTTTTTCAATTTGAACTAGCACCTCATGACTACACCACGTTATGTACGAGAAGCTGCAAAAGACACAGGCGCAAGTGAAATGTACAAAACATGGTGACATAAATTTTTATATATATAAAAATAAAAAAGTAATTTAATTTAAATTAATTATATTTAAAGTAAATATAATGGGCGATATATTGCATCACCAAAAATTATTGAGGTCATGTACATATATTGCGCGATATATTGATTATTGCGACAGGCCTAGTCACATTTAATCTCGAGCATGCTCTTCACAGTCAATGCATCTTGATATAAAATTACATTAGTACTAAAGTACCATTATTAGTATCATTACTTGGTATTAGTATTTGCACTAGTAGAAGTACATTACCGGGGCAAAAGTGTTGGTTGTTTTGGAAATGATGCTATTATGGGGCAAAATTCAGTTGATACAAATCATTTTCATAAATACTGAAATTATTTGTTTCACTAATTGTTTAGATCATTACAGTTTTAAATTTAGTAGTATATGTTGACATATGGGTCTGGAGCAAGGTTAAATTATACATTGAAAAGTTGCTAAATTAATGAAGACATGGTAAAAAGTTCCTGTGTGACCTTCATATAAAAAAGTTGAAGAAACACTCAAATGTGATTATATTCTAAATATATATAAAACCTTTTATTTATATAAAACTTTGCACCACTGTTTGTGCTGGCAGTGTCAAACAGGATCAAGGTTCAGGAGAAATCATTTGTTTTGTCTTCTTGCTCTAGATTGCAGATGAATGGTAATGGCCTATATAAGAATATAATGTAATCCTGTTTTCCTACCTGCATAAAATACAGTGTTTTTGCAATTTAACATTCAGGTACATCTCCTTTTGCAGCAAAATGTATCATATTGTATCTCAGATGGTGGAGGGCCTAATGATTAGACTGCTAGAGCAAATATTGTGGGTTCAGTGAAGCATGATCATTGTATAACTCTAAAATCACTTTAAGTTGCTTTGGACGCAAAATGTCAAAGTGCAGTAAAAGTTAAATCAGAGATTAGACTGTGAGTTGTTTTGAATGCGGGCCAAGGGCTTCATGCTCTTTAGTAATTAGGGTTCCGCACTTTTAAGCGAAGAGAGTTATGCCGAGTTCACACTGCACGATTTTAGCCCGATTTTTCACTCGCCGACAGGTTTTGCGAAATCGCCGACAAATGCCAGACATCGGAGGCAAATCGGTGCTCGTTCACGCGAGTGACAATCACGCAGTGTGAATGATCAAAGACGCGATCTGAGGGAATCGTGAAGTCATGCAGTGTGAAACCCCCTGTCGCCGATCCATCGTGCAATGTGAACACAGCAGCAACTGAATGCTACCCCAGATAGTCACGCAGTGTGAAAACAACGGCGATCCGACGAGTTTGAAAATCGTGCAGTGTGAACTCGGCATTAAATTGCGGATACGTGAGAGCTCAGGTGATCTGATTCAGCTTGCTTTGTTGTGTTCCCATGAAGTCTTATGCCTAGGTATTTTTGTATTGTATTTTATTGCTATATTCAATCATGGAGACCTTTCATGGATGCTCACTGATCTTAGACTAAACTCACTGGGGCAAACGTAGGAAACTATCTCTGTTGTTGTGCGTAGTGCTGGAGGACGCTGGGTGGAGAACAAAACTGCCTTTGTTTTCTTCATGCCTACACAAGGACCCAGAGTGCACTGAGCCTTTGAGAGCAGGGCTATATTGAGCTGGTGCCCAATTCAGGATTCTTTGACAGATCAGTGTTCCTGGGAAGATGTGTGGGGAAGAAGGAAAATGTGGGGTTTTAAGTGAAAAATGAACACATGTGGCTGATCTTTCAAACTGGTGGTGTCATTTTGGTCTAAATAGACTTTCTGATAATTTGCATTATGCTTTTAAAGGAATGTTATGCAATTAAAATTTCACAAAAAAAAAAAATAATAACATGGAGGGGCAAACGTAGGAAACTATCTCTGTTGTTGTGCGTAGTGCTGGAGGACGCTGGGTGGAGAACAAAACTGCCTTTGTTTTCTTCATGCCTACACAAGGACCCAGAGTGCACTGAGCCTTTGAGAGCAGGGCTATATTGAGCTGGTGCCCAATTCAGGATTCTTTGACAGATCAGTGTTCCTGGGAAGATGTGTGGGGAAGAAGGAAAATGTGGGGTTTTAAGTGAAAAATGAACACATGTGGCTGATCTTTCAAACTGGTGGTGTCATTTTGGTCTAAATAGACTTTCTGATAATTTGCATTATGCTTTTAAAGGAATGTTATGCAATTAAAATTTCACAAAAAAAAAAAATAATAACATGGAGAGGACTCTAAAATATTGTGAGTCAAGGTCAGTAAAATAATTTGTCCTTTGGGTTGTCAAATGTCATGTGGTTCTATTCCTGCATAATTTGATATTCGTGACACTGGACCACATAACCAGTCATATTACTAAGCAAAAATTAAGTTTTGAAATATTTAAAGTAGGAAATTTACAAAATATCTTCATAGAACATGATCTTTACTTAATATCCTAATGATTTTTGGCATAAAAGAAAAATAATAATAATTTTGACCTATACAATGTATTTTTGGCTATTGCTACAAATACAGTAGTCAACATTCGAAGTGGATCAAAACCTTTCATCAAAGTTGTCCTAAAACCTAAAAACAAAATGCGTTCTTGTCTTGGGACAACTTTGATGAACTTTTTTGATCCACTTCAAATGTTGACTACTGTATACCTGTGCTACTTAAGATATGTGCTAATTAAGATAAGATAGATGGATATGGTTTTGTGGTCCAGGGTCACATTTATAAATTAATAATTGATGCAAAACTATACTTGTTACTTTTGTATTAAAAATTGGTCGTTTCTAAATGACAACTTTGATAATTTTGGTAGTTACAATCTGGTAGGTCGTATTTCCCAACACTGTATTGCCAGTACATAGGCTAGTAAGCATTTTATTATAAATGTTAACTTTAAATGATTTTTAAATAAATATGGTGTGAAATGTGCCAAATATTGTGAATATGGACATTATATGACCTGCCAGCTCCTCTGCTGTTGAGATTTCATCTGTATTAGACACTAATTTTCCTCACATCTGTTGATCTTTTTCATAAACAGCAAGTCTTCTCACAGACTTTCTGAAATGAGCTTAAGGCACAACATTGACTTCCGTCGGTCTGCTTTTGTCAGTCATCCATTTATGAAATTAGGACATGGTTCCCTGTAAAATAATCCACTGCTTCTGTCAGTTCAGTCCTGCTGCCCTGGATATGTGCCATGAGCCGTAACTGGGCCTTTTCATGTTTGCTAGTGCTTCAAAATCCGCTTTGTAGTCAAATCACTTCATGCTACATTTTGAAGAATACTGAGAATATACTAGAACTAAACCAGGTGTCTGGGGCGAGTGGAGCCTTGTTTAGTTGTGTAGGAGTGTTTAGAGGCAGGGGAGGGCCTGATGTGGTGAACGGTCGTGTGCTCGGGGTCTAATTAGAGCAGCGTGCCTGAACCGGACAGCACGCAGGAATGTGCTGTATGTCATAGGTGATGTCCATTCCATTAGGGGTGCAAAGGTTCAACTTACTCACGGTTCGGTTTGTATCACGGTTTTAGAGTCACGCTTTCGGTACGGGTCGGTATGTGCTATGTTTAGGGAAAAAACTATATTGTCAAATAAAAATAAAGAAAATAAGAACAAATAATCTAACTACAAGCAACAGCACAAATAAATAAACAGTGAAAAAAGATACAAATAAAATACACAGTGCTTTTCCGTTTTTTTTAGGTAGGTCTAACATAGTTTTTAGGTACAGAAATTGAATAAATCAAATGTAAAATAACATTGTATAAATTAAAGATTAATCCTTATTAAAGTTACAAAAGTTATTCAATCAAGAGCAGTGAGAGATTTCTGTGTTGTTGCTGTTTGATTAACATTAAGAAAGTGCTGTCACTTTAAGAGAACGCACTGATACTGTACATTCAGCCGACTATGTCTGCTAGGATACTCACCAACACGGGCATTTTGACGTAATTTTTATGTGAATTTGTCCATTCAAACTAGGGCTGTGCGATTAATCATGTGTCAAAATCATGATTAAAATCGAAATCGCAAAATTGATCAAAGAAATCGCGATAGGTTTTTTTTGTCCATATCGCACTGCCATAATTCAAACACAATACTTCACAGAGAGCTTAATATTTGCAGGCGTTCACGCGCTTCGGATGAGCGACCACACAGATCTTCTCACTGCGAGCACGAGTTCACGTCTTCTGGCTCTTTAATATTTAAACTGGCCAGGCTTAAATGAGTTTAGTTTAAACACAGATAGCAACGTGTGCTGTTCAGGTCTCACCTGCGCTATCAACACGTCAGCACCCGGGTGATGACGGAATAAATGCTCATATTCCAGCATACGGCATTCGCA